AAGAGGGAATATAAATGCATAAATTCAAGGATTATGTGGATTAAAATAAAAGTCGGATGTGAAAAGTGGGTCATAATAAGTGTGTATGCACCTGGAGAAGAGAGGAGTGTAGAGAAGAGAGAGAGATTTTGAGAGATGTTAAGCGAGTGTGTAGGAACTTTTGAGCCAAGTGAGAGTAGTTGTGGTAAGGGACATAAATGCTTAAGTAGGAGAAGCTTTTAGAGAGGGTGTGGTCGATAAGTCTGGGGTGCCAGGTGTAAATGATAATGGGGAGCATTAGACTGAACTTTGTATAGAAAGGGGTTTGGTTATAGGTAAGACATACTTTAAGAAAAAGTGGATAAATAAGAATACAAGATATGACGTAGTGCAAAATGACAGTAGTTTGATGGACTACATATTGGTAGATAAAAGACTGTTGGGTAGACTTCAGGATGTACATGTTTATAGAGGGGCCAGAGATATATATCAGATCACTTTTTAGTTGTAGCTACAGTGAGAGTAAAAGGTAAATGCGATACAAGGAAAATGGAAGCAGCAAGTAAAGGGGAAGAGAAGGTTTATAAACTAAAGGAGGAGGCAGTTAGGGCAAGATATAGAAGTGATGCAAGGAGGGAGGAGTATATGGAACAAAAGAGAGAGGTTACGAGATGGTAAAGAGGACATAGGGCAAATGACAGGTGGGTGAGATGTTTGAGATTTTGTTGAAAATAAGAAAAAGTTTTGGAGTGAGATTTATAAGTTGAGGAAGCCTAGGGAAAGAATGGATTTGTTAGTTAAAAAGAGAAGAGGAGAGTTATTAATGGAGAGTTAGAGGTATCGGGAAGATGGAGGGAATATTTTGAGGAATTATTAAATGTTGAAGAAGATAGGGAAGCTGTGATTTCGTGTATAGGTCAAGGAGGAATAACATCTTATAGGAGTGAGGAAGAACCAGTTGTGAGTGTGGGGAAAGTGTGTGGAGCAGTGAGCAGCTCCACACACAGTTCCACCTGCAGCCTTTTGTTGGGTAATTAGTGGTCTGAGATGGTTAATTGTTGTTGAGCCCCATGCACAAATTCCATAGGTGAGATAGGGGTAAATATGAGAGTGATATAGGGCCAGGAGGGCTGACTGTGGAGCATAGTACCGTATCTTTGATAGTATGCCTACAGTCTTGGAAATTTTCTTAGAAATTTGTTGTATATGTGTATGAAATTTGAGTCTATTATCAAGGTGGATTCCTAAGAATTTTCCCTCTGTTAGCTTTGTGATAGGTGATCCGTTTATCATTATGTTAAGAGGGACATCCGTAGCACTGTTACCAAACTGAATGAAGTAGGTTTTGTCAATGTTTAGTGCAAGTTTGTTAGTCCTCATCCAGGTAGATATTTTCTGTAATTCGGTATTTACAGTATTGGCTAGCGTGACTGGGCTCGGGTGAGAGAAGACCTATGTAGTGTCATCTGCAAATAGTGTGGGTTTGAGTAATTGCGAAGCATTTGGTAGGTCATTTATGTATAGGAGAAAGAGAAGAGGGCCAAGGACACTTCCCTGTGGGACACCAACTGTAATTGGTTGTGCGGAAGAGCTTGCCCCATTTGCGTACACATATTGGCTTCTGTTGCTGAGGTATGACTTGAGGTAGTTGAGGGAGTGCCCTCTTATACCATAGTGTGACAATTTTACGTGGAGCAAGTCATGGTCAACTGTATCAAAAGCTTTACGTAAGTCAATGAAGATCCCCAGTGGGACTTCTTTTTTCTCTATTGCAGTGTATATATGTTCTAGCATGTGTATAATAGCATCATTAGTATTTTTATTAGGCCTGAATCCAAATTGGCAGGGGTTGAGTATGTTTTGGGAGATGAGGTAGGAGTAGATTCGTTTATGAATTAATTTTTCGAAGATTTTTGAGAGAGGGTGTAAATTGGATATTGGCCTATAGTTATTCAACTCTGTTTGGTCTCCTCCTTTATGGATCGGGGTGACCCTTGCTATTTTGAGAACTGTAGGGAAGGTGGAGGATTCAATGGATTTGTTAAAGAGTGTTGCAATGATTGGTGATAGCACTTGTGACACTTTTTTGTATATAAAGGGTGGTAAGGTATTTAAATCTCCTGCCTTGTTTTTTAGTGCGTTGATAATAAGGGAGACTTCGTATAGGTTAGTTGGAGCTAGGAACAGTGTGTTCGGGTAGTTGCCAGTGAGTTGTTTCTCTTTACTTAGGGTATAGGTTACACAACATTCTGGCAGGATGACACTACCAGTGGTATTCTCCCATTCCACTGTGTCGACAATACATAAAGATAATAGTAACATATGATACTGTATGCGATGTAAAATTTACAATACATATCACTACCATGTATACATTATATACAGTACATAATTAAAATACAACAATAGAAGTAAATTATGGCAAAAAGAATAAAATAATGATTGTACATTACATTACAGTACTATGTAGGTAGTTTATGTAGGAAAGTTTTGACATTATGCCCTACCCAATATGTCGGCAATTTTCAAAGGTTCGACTTACGACCATTTCGACTTACGACTGGTTGGTCGGAACCAAGCTTGGTCGTAAGTCGGATGGTAGGTGTATTACTAAATGTAAAAGGAGAAACTTTCGTTTTTCCTTTTGGGCCACCCCGCCTCGGTGGGATACGGCCAGTGTGTTGAAAGAAGAGGTTTTTGTGGCATTTATGGATGTGGAAAAAGCATATGATAGGGTGGATAGGGGGGCAATGTGGCAGATGTTGCAAATGTATTGAATAGGAGGTAGGTTACTGAAAGAGGTGAAAAGCTATTACGAGGATACTGAGGCTCAGGTTAGAGTATGTAGGTGAGAGGGAGATTATTTCCCAGTAAAAGTAGGCCTTAGACTGGGATGTGTGATGTCACCATGGTTGTTCAATATATTTATAGATGGAGTTGTAGAAGTGAATGCTCGGGTGATGGCAATTGGTGTGGGGTTAAAAGATAAAAAATCTAACACAAAGTGGGAATTGTCACAGCTGCTCTACTGATGACACTGTGCTTCTGAGAGATTCTGAGGAGAAGTTGCAGAGGTTGGTTGATGAGTTTGCTAGGGTATGTAAAAGAAGATAAATAAACGTGAATATTCGAGAGAGTTGGGTGATGAGGATAAAAAATTTAGGCAACGGAAGATTGGATATCAGATTAGAGGGAGAGAGTATGGAGGAGGTGAGTGTGTTCAGATACTTGGGAGTGGACATGTCAGCAGATGGGTCTATGAAAGATGAGGCAAATCATAGAATAGACGAGGGGAAAAAGGTGAGTGGTGCACTGAGTCGTCTGTGGAGACAAAGAACATTATCTATAAAAGCAAACAGAGGAATGCATGAAAGTACATAGTTATACCAATGCTCTTGTATGGGTATGAGGCATGGGTTGTGAATGTTGCAACAAGGAGAAGGCTGGAAGCAGTGGAGATGTCATGTCCAAGGGCAATGTGTGGTGGGAATATAATGCAGAGAATCCATAGTCTGGAGATAATGAGGTGTGGGCTTACCAAAACTATTATCCAAAGGGCTGAGGAGGGGTTACTGAGATGGTTTGGACATGCAGAGAGGATGGAACAAAATAGAATGACTTCTAGAATGTATAACTCTGTAGTGGAGGGAAGGCAGGGTAGAGGTCAGCCTAGGAAAGGTTGGAGGGAGGGGGTAAAGGAGGTTTTGTGTGCGAGGGGCTTGGACTTCCAGCTAGGGTGCCTGAGCGTGTTAGAAGCTAATGGAGACAAATGGTTTTTAGGACTTGACGTGCCGTTGGAGTGCAAGCAATGTAACATTTACGAAGGGATTCAGGGAAACTGGGAGGCCAGACTTGATTCCTGGAAACAGGAAGTAGAGTGCTGACAATCTGAAGGTGGGGTGTTAATGCTGCAGTTTTATAACTGTAGTGTAAGCATGCCTCTTGCAAGACAGTGATGGAGTGAATGATGAAAGTTTTTCTTTTTTGGGCCACCCTGCCTTGGTGGGGAAACGGCCGATGTGTTAATAAAAAAACAATAAATCTTACCTTAACTGCCTCCTCTTTCAGTTTATAAACCTTAACCTCTCTCTTACTTGCTGCTTCTATTTTCCTTGTATCCTATTTACCTTTTACTCTCAATGTAGCTACAACTAAAAAGTGATCTGATACATCTGTGGCCTCTCTATAAACATGTACATCCTGAAGTCTACTCAATAGGCTTTTATCTACCAATACGTAGTACAACAAACTACTGTCATTACGCCTTACATCATAACTTGTATATTTATTTAGCCTCTTTTTCTTAAAATAGGTATTACCTATAACTAAACCCCTTTCTATACAAAATTCAATCAAAGGGCTCCCATTATAATTTACACCTGGCACCCCAAACTTACCTACCACACCCTCTCTAAAAGTTTCTCCTACTTTAGCATTTAGGTCCTCTACCACAATTACTCTCTCACTTGGTTCAAACGTTCCTATACATTTGCTTAACATCTCCCAAAATTTCTTTTTCTCTCCTGTACACTCCTCTCTTTTCCAGGTGCATACACGCTTACTATGACCCACTTTTTGCATCCAACCCTTATTTTAATCCACATAATCCTTGAATTTGTACATTTATATTCCCTCTTCTCCTTCCGTAACTGATCCTTCAACATTATTGCTACCCCTTCCTCAGCTCTAACTCTCTCAGATACTCCTGACTTAATCCAATTTATTTCTCATCACTGAAACTTGCCTACCCCTTTCAGCTTTGTTTTGCTTAGGGCCAGGACATCCAACTTCTTTTCATTCATAACATCAGCAATCATCTCTTTCTTATCATCTGCACTACATCCACCTACATTCAAGCATCCTAGTTTTATAAAGTTTTTCTTCTCTTTTTTTAGTAACATATACAGGAGAAGGGGTTACTAGCCCATTGCTCTCAGCATTTTATTTACCAGCAATTAAATTTACTGTTATTATGATTTTATTGAAACATTCAGCAAGTAATCCCTCAGTGATTAACCTACCATAGAACTGAATTCCTTGGGAGCATAAAGTTTTCGAGCGCATGCAAGTATGGTAGATGTCTTGCCCGTTCCTGGTGGGCCATAGAAGAGTAAATGTGGCAGGTGGTCCTCATCAATAAACCGCTCAACTGAAAAAATATAAAAAAAATATAGACGGGTAATGCATAATATTTAGGTAAGACGCAGGACATTTTTTAAAAGATCCAGGGTTAAAAGGAAAGTTACAATAGGTTATAAGCTATACAGGCAGGCCCTGCTTATACAGCAGGTTAGGCTCCAGGCTACTGCCGCAAAGCGAAAATTAATGTAAAGTGAAATATAGCCTTTTTTCACTTTCAAATGTGTATAAAAGCCTGATAACATTCATACTATTTTATATTAACCCCTTCACTGTCGAGACCCCTGCTCACAAACTTGCTCTCAGTGTCGATGAATTTAAAAAAAAAAAAAATTTTGTCTTATGAAATAAGAGAATCTTTTCCCGATTGTAATGGCGCCAAAAGAACAAAATTTGATGAAAAACTTATGGAATTATGCTCTCGCAAAATTAAAAGTCTCGGCGATATACTATACGCATCAGCGATTCTGCCCACTTTGAGCCCTATTTTCGGCCAATTCCATTGGTCCAGTCGACCAAACTCATAGCTATTTCGCTAGAACTCCTTTTGTTCTATCAACTGAGTACAAGAAACTGCCCATTTACTAATTTCAACTACCCAATCAAGTGGTCGGCAGGCCGCAGGCTGGCTGGCCGACCAGCTGGCTGGCTGGTTGACTCTGTCTCTGTCTCACAGGTACACATAAATACAATAATACATAGTGTAAATTACTTAGGATACATGGAGAATATAATAATAATAATAATAATAATAATAATACTAGAAGCATTTTGTAAGAGAGAGTGACATTTGTCTTATCTCTCCACTAATGAGAGTGGTGACATCTGATGAGGGTACACTGCCTTCCCTTTATTTGTTTTCACTTTACACAAACATGTCTGTCTATCTGTCTGCTTCTCTCTTTTTGTAGTCTCCTTGCCTCTCTGTCTCTGTCTCAGAAAGATCCACTAGTGAACCAACATGTATTACATATGATGCAGTACAGGTCCTCCATCACAAATCCGGCATTATTGGGACCTGTAGTGTGCCGGATTACTGAGTTTGCCGAATTACAGAGTGGTTAGGTTAGAATACACTTAATAAAATTAACCAACTTGACTTACACAGTTCATTGAACATCGGCAAAAATCGAACATTTCTGCTACTTTGAGCTTAATTTCAAGGTACTTTTCGTTATGAAAGCAATCAAAATTATGTCTATTTCTGTAATATATCTTCCATTCTATCAAATGAGTCCAAAAAATGAGAATACAACCATAAAAACCATACGAAAATATACTGCAAAGAGGCGGCTTATGGCTGAGAAGTGAACTCCCTTATTTATCGTCCGTCTTTTTTATTTTTGTTGTACGTTAAGAACCATCTTTCCATCGTACATTGCCCAAGTTTCAATGAGATAGCCCAACAAACAACCGAGAAAAAAAAAATTTTACCAAAAAACATATATGGCAAGCCCAAGCCAGGTACTGGAAATAAGTCACTTTGTCTGACTTTTCTGGGGTTTTCCCAGGTTCTCTATACATACACTGCTATGTATGATAAAACCTACGTAACTGTATTTGTGTATACCTGAATAAACTTATTTACTTCTAGTCGTCAAATGAGTACAAGGGAAACCGCCCATTCACTTATTTCAACTAACCCAATAAAGTGGTCAGAAAAATTTGGGAATTTGGCTGATTTCACACACAATTTCAACAGATGCCAATTTTTAAAATAGGGTCCAGAATAAACAATGCAGACATTCCTGGGACTAAAATAACATTTTCTCTGTTCATTAGTCACGGCTACAGGCTCCTCTTATATTACTCTTGCTTACCATTTGGAATTTTTATTCACAAAAAAAATAGAAGATTTACTGTTATAAAGACTACTGCATTATTTTAATAACTGTATAAATAATGTCAATCCATTCTTGACTCCGTACTGGAATTTGGACTGGCAGGCGGACAGGTATTGGACGGTGACATCAATTGTTTACTCTTGAGCTTCGCTAAAGAATAGAACATTTTTGCTACTGTGAGCACAATTTCAAGGTACTTTTCGTGATGAAAGCAATCAAAACCATATTTATTTCTGTAATATATCTTTCATTCTATCAAATGAGACCGAAAAAATGAGAATATAACCATAACAACCATACAAAAATAAATATACCGCTAAGCAGCCGCTAATGGCTGAGAAGTGAACTCCGCTATTTATGGTCTGATTTCTTTCATTTTTGGTGTACATGAAGAAGTATCTTTCCATCATACATTGCCCAAGTTTGAATAAGATAACCTAACAAACAAATGAGGAAATATAATAATAATAATAATAATAATAATAATAATAATAATAATAATAATAATATAATAATAATAATAATATAATAATAATAATAATAATAATAATGATAATAATAATAATAATAATATCTTTATTTACTACACGTACATGTACAAGGTATACAGGCCTAGCTGACATCAGTGACATACTACTGTATAGAAAGCCACTTGTTATGCAGAGTATTTCAAGAAAATTAGATCAGTGTCCCAGGATAACACCCACACTAGTCGACTAACACCCAGGTACCCATTTACTGATGGGTAAACATAGACAACAGGTGTAAAGAAACATGCCTAATGCTTCTACCCTGGCTGGGAATCGAATATTTGCCAAAAATCATATATGGCTAACCCAAGCCAGGTACTAAAAATAAGCCACGTTGACTTTTTTGGGGTTATCCTTGGTTCTCTACACATATACTGCTATGTGTGATAATCTATAGAGAGAAAATAACTTTTTTGTTTCATGTTTATGGTGCAGTACGAGTGTATATCACAGTGAGCCCTGTGCTATACTCCGTTTTCTCTAAAATAAGCCACCAAGACAAGGATAGGAGAATGGTATTTGTTTAACATATCCTCTTCATAACTCTGTCGAACTGCTCGGAGTTATGCCAAATATTATTCATTCTGGAGTATTTAACATGTTTTATGTTATTTATATTGTTTCTTACGTCATATTAGATCAATTGTGATAGGCAAATAAGCTGTAGTGTTGATATTAGCGTAATAATAAAGCATATTCTCCTGCTTCATGAGACTGAGCTCATGGCAACCGACAATGGCTTCAAAGCCACCTTATCTTTAATGAAAAATGTACTGTGCAGGTCCTTTACATAATGAGAAGCATTTCTTTTATTCATTGGAACCATGGCTAGGGCTAAAAGTAAGCAGGTTAAAACAATAAATGGAGAAAAAGAAATTGGAATGACTTATGCAGCAAGTAGCGCCACCAAACAGTACCAGCAGGTTGGTGTGGCGACCCTGGAAATTTGAAATTATGCTAGCCAAAATTAGTGCCGAATAACTGAAGGAACTGAATAACTGATTGCCGAATTTGTAATGGCGGACCTGTAGTCACTGCGTCCATCTGAGTCATGATACTTATTATTTGCCAGTCTGGATTTTGTGGGTTATCCTAGATAATTCTACACTATGTATAATTGTATTTATGTGTACCTGTGTGTGTGTGTTGTGTGTGTGTGTGTGTGTGTGTGTGTGTGTGTGTGTGTGTGTGTGTGTGGTGTGTCTGTCTGTGTGTGTGTGTGTGTGTGTGTGTGTGTCTGTCTGTGTGTCTGTCTGTGTGTGTGTCTGTTTGTGTGTCTGTGTGTGTGTCTGTGTGTGTGTCTGTGTGTGTGTCTGTGTGTGTGTCTGTGTGTGTGTCTGTGTGTGTGTCTGTGTGTGTGTCTGTGTGTGTGTCTGTGTGTGTGTGTGTGTGTGTGTGTGTGTGTGTGTGTGTGGTGTGTGTGTGTGTGTGTGTGTGTGTGTGTGTGTGTGTGTGTGTGTGTACTCACCTATTTGTACTCACCTATTTGTGGTTGCAGGGGTCAAGATACAGCTCCTGGCCCCGCCTCTTCGCTGATTGCTACTAGGTCCTCTCTCTCCCTGCCCCATGACCTCTATCATACCTCGCCTTAAAACTATGTATGGTTCCCGCCTCCACTACGTCACTTTCTAGGCTATTCCACGGCCTGACTACTCTATGACTGAAGAAATACTTCCTAACATCCCTTTGATTCATCTGAGTCTTCAACTTCCAATTGTGACCTCTTGTGTCTGTGTCGCCTCTCTGGAACATCCCGTCTTTGTCCACCTTGTCTATTCCGCGCAGTATTTTATATGTCGTTATCATGTCTCCCCTGACCCTCCTGTCCTCCAGTGTCGTCAGGCCGATTTCCCTCAACCTTTCTTCGTAGGACAATCCCCGTAGCTCTGGGACTAGTCTTGTTGCAAACCTTTGCACTTTCTCTAATTTCTTGACGTGCTTGACTAGGTGTGAATTCCAAACTGGTGCTGCATACTCCAGTATGGGCCTGACGTAAATGGTATACAGAGTCTTAAACGAATCCTTACCGAGGTATCGGAATGCTATCCGTAGGTTTGCCAGGCGCCCGTATGCTGCAGCAGTTATCTGATTGATGTGCGCCTCAGGAGATATGCTCGGTGTTAGACTCACCCCCAGATCTTTTTCCTTGAGTGAGGTTTGCAGTCTTTGGCCATCTAAACTATATTGTGTCTGTGGTCTTCTTTGCCCTTCCCCAATCTTCATGACTTTGCATTTGGCAGGGTTAAATTCAAGGAGCCAGTTGCTGGACCAGGCTTGTAGCCTGTCCAGGTCTCTTTGTAGTCCTGTCTGATCCTCATTTGATTCTTCTCATTAACTTCGCATCATCTGCAAACAAGGACACTTCTGAGTCTATCCCTTCCGTTATGTCGTTCACATATACCAAGAACAGCACAGGTCCTAGGACTGACCCCTGTGGAACCCCGCTTGTCACAGGCACCCACTCTGACACCTCGTCGCGTACCATGACTCGTTGTTGCCTCCCTATCAGGTATTCTCTGATCCATTGCAGTGCCTTTCCTGTTATGTGTGCCTGATCCTCTAGCTTTTGCAGTAACCTCTTGTGAGGAACTGTGTCAAAGGCCTTCTTGCAGTCCAAAAATATGCAGTCGATCCAC